CTATAAGACAAAGTAGAATTGCCCCATAAAGTTTCTAAGGCTCTAACTCTTTAAAGAAACAAACTGCCACATCTTTCTCCTAATAGTAGCTGGGGGATTAAAACTGCTGACCTTTCAGTTAGCAGCTGAGTGCTTGAACTACAGCACCACCAAGGAAACTTTCATATACATATAGATGGGGACTTCGAAAAGCTTGTGGGAAACTGAAAGATAATGGATAATAATTTATTCTACAAATTTTCATTCAATTCCTAGTAAAAAGCTAAAAAAAAAAAAAGATAATGGAATTTTCCACGAATTCTTTGAAGCCCCCTCATGTAATATCTCTATTACAGTATGTGTCAAAAGGTTTCGAGAGAGTATATATTTCATGACTGTGGCACTGTGGGTTAATGTGCCAAACTGCAAACAAAGCCTTTTGAACTGCAAGACTGGCAATTCAAGCTCACCAGTTGCTCCTCGGAGAGGAGTTGGTACTGACTCGACAGCACTTAACAACAACAACAACAACATATTTCATGACTGAGAGAGGATAGGAACTGACTGGGTAGGGAGAAAAGTCAGTCTGTCTGAATCCAAATTCTGGCTCTCTACCTTACTATTTGTGCAGTCTTGGGCAAGTTACTTAACCTCTCTATGATTCAATTTCCTCATCTATAAAATGGGGATAATAAAACTTATCACATAAGATGGCTGTAAGAATTAAATAAAATGTTTAGAATAATGGCTGGTATCTATATATGCATTTTTAACTTTTTATTATGAATTGAGTGAAGGTTTATAGGCAAGATCATCAGCTTTACGTTCAACAAATCATACATTTAGCTTCATCACAATGATTACAATCCCCTCCATGCAACAACCTTTATCCTGCTTCCTCCCTGTGGTTCTTATTTGCATTCCACTCACCTTTCTATTTCATCTCAGCTTTGTCCTTTGGTGTATGTTGCCATTTTGATTTTGAATGATTAACCATTCTATGGTGTGACTGATGTATTTAAAGCACTTTTAAAAAAGTAAATTGCTACTTATGTTTGTTATCTTATTAATCTGTTCTACTGGACATTGAGTTCCCACTTTAGCTAGATCTCTATCTTCCTCCTGTTCTACATCACAACATCTCATTTGTATTTTCTTCCACAGCACTTACCCTATGATCATATACTTATCTAGGCATTTCTTTTTTTGTCTCCCCCACTAGACCGTTGGATCCCCAACACTTTTCCCAGAGCAGGCACTCAAATATTTGTTGAATAAATAGCACAGGGGCCGTCACTGTTCAATGTTTGCTGAGTCAATTAACCTAGCTCCGGGTGACTGTCAAAGCTGAGGTCTGGGAGCAGATGATGCCCTGGCTGCCCCAGGATTACTATGACCCTCTCCCCAGCCCCTTGTAGTAATCTCAGCCAAGCCCCACCTACTTGCCCTTGGCCCCAGCCCAGTTCTAGGAGCCACCCTCAGCTAAAAATAGCACAGTTACCAAGATGGTCAGGCCATTTATAGTCTTGGAGGCAGCAGCAACTCACTGGGTGGGCAGGCAGGGCTTAGGTCTCTCACTCCATCAGGGGCTCCTCATATTGCCCCAATGCCTGTTCTCCAAGGCCCTATTCTAGCTGTCATGAGTTAAACCATAGGTCCTCATCAGAGGTCCTCAATACCTCCAGCACTGGCAGTCACAACTCCAAGCTCCACCAGAAACTCCTCACAGAATTCCACAGAAAACATTTTGAGCTTTTGGAGACAGTAAGCCCCAGAGTCTAAGGGATTTCCAAGCATCTGTTTCAGACCAGCTCAAGAAATGCAAGCCCCAATCTAGCACAGACAGGCATAGGCACTTACTGAGAAAGTAACTTAGCATGACTAGGTGTGCAGGCATCAAAGAAAGTGACAGGAATAGCCTCTCCACTTCCCAACGAGAGGGTCTCCTAACAGTATACTAGCCTTCATTGTAGAGTCAGATTTTCAGGAGTTTAGTGTATGCACAGTAAAGGCAAAAAAGCATTATGACTAAATCCTTCTTAGAATCAAATTTTCTAATTGACTAAAAAGAGTCAGGTGGGCATATATATCCGACAAGGAAAAAAAAAAAAGGCCAATAGACTCTCGGGAGGATGAACGAGGCAGCCCTTTTCTTGGCTTTCCCCTAAAGCATCACCAAGGCCTGCCTAACTTTACCAGGAGTAAAACACCATTCTCCTGGCCACGCCTATTACTCCTTTAACAGGGATGGGCCTGAGAAATGGAAGAAGTCCAGGACTTAAGTATTAGAAGACCTGCCTATAACATGAAACACAGGACCCAGTTTCTTCATCCATCAAAATGAAGGATCCTGCCTCACACCGGCTATCCTAGACTCACACAGACTATTATATGATTTTATACAGAAAATAGTTGTATAACTGTAAAATATAGTCTATAGAAAACATACTAATTGACTTGTATGTTGAACGTGATTTTAAAAAGGGGCAGCTTTAAAGGCAGGCACCCCCCTGCCCCCATGCTCTGAAGACACAGAGAGGCTGAAACCACCACAAGAGTTACTAGTTAGATAGAAAGTTTCTACCCCAAACTCCTTTGTTGAGCCCAGCCCATGAGCCACAATTCATACACATTTTGTTTCATATCATGCCATTTTTACCCAAATGACATGAAACAAAACGTGTATGAATTGTTGAATGGAAAACTGAATTGCTGTATAAATCTTCACCCAACAAAAAGTTTTTCTAACCAATTTAGGGGCTCTGATACATGGCATAAATACACTATCTTTAAAAAAAAAAAAAAAATAGCTGAAAACACACAAACAGCAGAAAACCAAAATAAAAAGTTTTTTCCTTTTTTTTTTTTTTTTTCAAAAAAGAGGCTCCCTTTATGTCAGAGATAAGGTCTCAGACAGGTCCATGGGGACAATATACCAGGACAATAGCGCTGGAACCCCAACCCCATGGCTCCCCAAATTATAACCATCCCCAACACCTACGGTATCTCTCTGAGACTCCTATTCCTGGAGTTCAACATTATTATGACAACAGAAACCAGTTCATGAACTGAAAGGAAGACTAGATTAAAGGAAAGGCCTAAGAGACGTAAGAGGCACAGAGCTATCTCCGTTAAGTTCAAGTCACAGAGTGGTTCTGAAGGATGCTGGGTTGTCTATCTTTTGTTGTTGTTGTTAAGTGCCATCAAGTCTATTCCAACCCATAGCGACCCTGTATAGGGTTTCCAAGGAGCAGCTGGTAAGCTTGAACTGCCAACCTTGCAGTTCAAATGGCTTTGCAGTCTGGCGCATTAACCCACAGCACCACACCAGAACTCCATCTCTTATCTTTGGAGGGGGAGAAATAACAACTTCCTGATCCTCAGCTAATATGTAAAATTCAAAATTCATTCCTTCAGTTTGTCTAAAATACAGAGAACTTCCACATCCACAAAAAACATGCATTAAAAAAAAAATTGCATTTTATCTCAAGCACTCAAATTTGACATACTGACAGTTATAAACAGGGTAACTGGGACAGCAGAGATGCTCCTTAGGCCTTTTGCACAGTTCCGTCTGTATCTGCCCACTTTTCCTTCACAACCCAATGAGAACCAAGCTGAGCTTGGTTTCAGTCACCAAGAAAAGAAGATTCCCTATGGAGAGATAGGATTAATATGTAGAAAGACTCTCTTCAAAGCAGGGTGAATCACCTAGGGACCTTGTTAAAAATATACATAGGGATTCAGTGTATCTGTGATGGAAATACAAATTCTTAGGAGAGGACTGAATCAGAATGAACAGATTCTAAGCCCTGCTTCAATGCAACAGCCCAGGTGCCATGCTTACTTGTACACAGGGCAACCCTGGTCTCCTTTGAAAGCCAGTGCTTGGGTGTTCTGGGATCACATGGAGTCCAGTCAAGGAAACCAAAAAAAGATGGGCTGCCCAAGAGTCAACTACCAATGCAGTCTCTGGATCCATCAATGAAACTCTCCAGCAACCATAACCTATTTCTTTTTCTGACTATACAGGGTGTCTATGAGTTGAAACCAATGATGGCACTTAACAATAACAACAGTTGTATCAGTGGGTATCCACTATGCTGTCTGTGTCACTTGAGCTTCCTTACCCTCAGAAACAACCCAGCTATAAATTCTCCTCATGCTACAGCCCCACAGCTTTAGGCTGACTACGAAGCGACAGAAGTAGGGAAGGATAACTGATCTTCTAAGCCTTGTGGAAAGCAACTGAACTTTAAAAGTGCTCTTTTGCTGCTGCAATAGACCATCAGGGCCTCTGTTGCCTGACAGAGCTCCACAAGTGCACAGGAAAAATCAGGACAGATTTTTTTTTTTAATATGTAATTCCTACCCCCTTCAATCAGAAGAAACAGGGTCAAGCCAACAAGTGGTATCAGGAATTCTATCATGTCCATGTCAAGAAAAGGCCACTTAACTTCCTGGTAGTAAATAAGATTCCATCTAGGGAAGTGCCTTAGTATTTCAAATGGGCAGAGCCTAGAGACAGCAAATTACCTAAAGGAAGAACTAAGTTCCCATAGTTGCTGGGATAGTAAGGCCAATATGAACACTAAGGTATCAGACAACAGAGTGGCCCAGGCCTGACTTTCCCTGCCCAACCCAAGCAGCCTCAACCTCCCCAGTGCTGCCAAATGCTGAAACCAGTCAGAAGCAATGGACTTATCATTTGGCCCGGACATTCTTTTGGACATTCTAGTCCTGAGAAAGGGTCTTGGCTGGTTGGTCTTGAAAGACCACGGTGCACCCTCAACGGGCAAGCCTCTTCTCACTGGCAATAAAAGACATCTTGGAGAGAAGTAAAAATTGTTCAAGGCGGGGGAAATAACATTAGTCATGGCTCAACAGAAAGAACTCCTTGGACTTCTGAGAAAAAGCAGTGCCATGTGCGGTTGGTTTCTCCACCAACCGCTAGGGTTCAACTTGCCCACTCCGGGCCCCTCATAGCCCCCGGTCCAGTCCAACCCTTGGTAAGGCCTTACCTGCTGCAGTGGACTCCTCAGTATTGGCCCCTGAGTTGGCTCCTGTTGCTTTCTCACTGTGGCTATGGCTGAGGCTCTGGCCCTGATGCAGAAGCCCCCAGAGGAGCCATAGGGCAAGACCAGCGCACACATCCATGACTCCGGGTCTCGGTCAACATGCGCCTGATGTGGACACCTCGGGATCCCAGAGGCAAAGCCAGGAACCCAGGAATGCCGCCGATGGTCCCAGAAACCCGGGCAAGATGCCCTCTCGACGCCGCAGTTGTCCAACCACCAGCGGGCCTGCCTCCTCCGACAGCCAAAGGTCAAACGCTCCAAGTTTGGACGCGGGAGAGGGCCCGCGCCTCTGGTCCAACCGTGCGTCGTCCGGGGCTGTGGCGGCCTGAGCACCCAATCTACTCGGGCCGCTTCCGGAGAGTTTGGGCAAGGTGGCTGCGGGGCCGCTGTCAGCTCGGCAGCCAGCTGCACCCCTGAAAGAGAGGGTGGGCGGGCAAGCTCTCCCGCGGGCACGGGTGGGGAAAGAGAGGAGGGAGCAAAGGAGGGGGGCACCTGGCCTCACCCCGCCTAGGAGTGGCGAGCAGCAAGGGTTCGGGGAGCGCGTGCGACTCGCAGGCACCCGTGGGCGTGGGCAGCTCCGGGATCCCAGGCCTTCTAGGCCGAGGTCAGCGCCCCCGCCCAGTCCCGTGCCCAGGCGGCCGGCGGTGCCCAGGTCCAGCAGGCGGACGCACAGGGGCCAGGCCCGGGACAGCGGCTCCCCGGCTGGCTGGCGGCGCGGGGCGGGCTCTGGGAGGGCGGGGGCGTGCTCTCCCACAGGCCCGCCCCGAGCCGTCCGGCCCCCTGCGAAGCCCCGTCCTGCCCCAGCGCCCGAGTTTATCCCGGAATAACCTGTTGGAGGTGACCGCCCTGAGCCCCCAGCCTCGGTGGGCTCTCCTTGGCCACCGGCCCACGCCCGTCTACGCCAGGACCCTCCTCCTGCGCCAAGGGTCGATCCCGATCTCCTTTTTCCCACAGAGAGTCTCTCCCGCGCAAACCGCCCTGACACGCAGTTGCTCAGGTAACTCAGGCCTGCGGCAGTGACAAAAACTGCTGCCCAGCCCCGATCTGCCGGCAACTGCCTTGCTCCACTCGCCTCAGCTCTACAGCCGGGCTGGACAGAGAAGCCCCCAGCACAACGATGGTCAGCACGGAGCTACCAGAGGTTACAACTACCCGGTCCGGTTCTGCCCGGGGCGCGCTCCCTGCCCCCCACTCCAGACTGGCTTTCCAGGCTCCGCCCTCCCTCCGCGCCTCATTGCCTATCGGTTTCCGCCTCTCTGCAGCTCAGAAACCGCGCTCTTAGTCCCCCGTGCGCAGCGGCCCCTGGCGGGCAAATCCAGGTGCTGAAGGCAGGACTAGAGCTCCTGAGAGGCCCTGCCTCTTTGCAGAGGACCGGGAGTGAAGCGATGACCCGCCTCTCTGGAGGCCCCTTTAAGTCCTGCTAGTGTTTTCGAAAGGAAATGATGCCGACGAGCAAAACGACTCTTACGACCAATACTCTTACACATCCCTTAAAGTCTCAGGCTGGGTCCTATTCGCTTTCCCCAACTGCTTCTATCCCAGGCTAAATTGGATGCTCTCCCTAACTTTCATCAGGTATTTTCCTACTTGCCCTTCAAACTCTCTCCCCCTCGAGGTCCTAGTCTATGGCTGGTTCCTCCCTAAATATCACTCTCCCAAACTCTGGGTCTCGCTTAGAAGAGGCGTTTAGCGACTTGGGAATGAGTGCCCCAATGAAAAGAGAGGGCCTCCTTCAACAGAGCCTGCACTTCCTGTTCCCTTCTCAAGCATGCTGTCAGTAAAGCTTTACTGAAACCTGTTCTGTGCCCTACCCTGTCCTTGGCACTGAAGGCAAGGGAAGGGATTAGATCCAGTCCCTCCTCTGGCAGGACTATGCCAGCTACCTGTTCTGAGCAAGCCCTCTGAAGACTGGGAACAAGGATTTGCCTAACAGCTGCTTGGCTTAAGTGTTAGACTGTTGCTATAAAAATACATGACTAACGTCACCTGATGTGCTATAGGATAAGCACGGGGCTGCTAACTGCAAAGTCGGCGGTTCAAGCCCACCAGCTACTCCTTGGAAACCCTACACAGGGTCGCTATGAATTGGAACCTATTCGTCCACACTTAGCAACAACAACGGTCATCTAGTACTATTCTCCCCACTGTCTTATTAAGTTCCAGTCACACTTTGTTGTTAAGTGCCATGAAGTCAGTTCTGATTCATAGCAACCTTGTATAGGGAGGGCACCAAGGAGCGCCTGGGGAATTTAAATCGCCCACCTGGCGGATAGCAGTCCAATGCTGATCCTACAGCACCACACCAGGACTCCCCTGTCACACTGGCCTTCTTTAAATTCGTCAAACATCCAACTCTGTATCAATTCACACCTTATGTATTTATTGTTGCCTGAAACCCTTGTCCCAGAACTCCTCATATACCTGACTCCTTATTCTTCATGATGTAGTTCAATCTGTCCTCAGAGAGCCATCAAGGTCAGTCTGTGGCCAAGATTGGACAGAGGATGGAGCTAATAGTGGAACTGTGGTTTGGGAATAAAACAACTTTAAATTAATGACACGAACGAGCACATTTCCAGTGTCCCCTTAATTAGAAATTTTCCTGATGCCTTGTTCAAAGTCTACAGCTCCTTCCCTTCTCTGGACACTCAATACACAGCACTGTCTAATTTGTGCTTCCTTGACCCATGCACATGTCTGTATCCCCTCAGGATTGTGGGTTTTCAGGGATTTGGACTGCTAACCACAAGGTCTGTGGTTCATCCCCATTCCTCAGAAACCCTATACAACGTTGCTATGGGTCAGAATTGAATCTCAAGGGCACTTCACAACAACAAACAACAATTAATCTCTGAACTTGACATCAGGACGGGAGGAAGGCTCATTAACAATTTATAATATGCAGATGATACAACATTGTTTGCTAGAAGGAAAGAGGACTTGAAATATTGATGGATTGCACCTCAGTGTAAACAAAATGAAAATCCTCACAACTAGACCAATAAACAGCATAATTATAAATGGAGAAAAGATGGAATTTGTCAAAGATTTCATTTTGCTTGGATCCACAATCAACACTCATGGAAACGGCAATCAAGAAATCAAACACAATATTACACTGGGCAAATCTGTTGCAAAAGATTTCTTTTTAAAGTGTTAATGAGCAAAGATGTCACTTTTTGGACTTAGGTGTCCCTTACCAAGCCATGGTATTTTCAATCACTTTATATGCATGTGAACGTTGGACAATAAATAAGTAAGACCATAGAAGAATTAATGCTTTTGAATTTTGGAGTTGGTGAAGAATTTTGAAAGTGCCATGGACTACCAAAAGAACAAATAAATGTCTTGGGAAGAATACAGCCTGAATGTTTCTTAGAAGCAAGGATGGTAAGAATTGGTCTCTTGTACTTTGGACATGCTATTAGGAATGACCAGTTCCTGGAGAACATCATGCTTTATAAAGTGGAGGGTCTGTGAAAATGAGGAAGATTTACCCCCTTCCAATGAAATGGACTGACACAGTGACAGCAGTGGTCTCAAGCATAACAATAGTGAGGGTGGCACAAGACTGGGCAGTGTTTTGTTCTATTGTACATAAAGAACCAACTCCACAGTACCTAACAACAACATTCATTTCTGTGGCACCAAGATGCAGTCATAGACCCTACAAAGAGTAGGTGCTCAGTAAAAGTTAGTCAACATGAGTTCATTCATTTGATCATTCATATTTTTTGAGTATTGTCTATGTATTGGAAGGAGTCCTGGTGTGGTGCTACGGTTAATATGCTGGACTGCAAGGTCAACTTGAACTGTAAGGTCAGCAGTTCAAGCTCACCAGCTACTCCTCAGAAACTCCCAACTCAACGGCACTAAAAAGCATCAACAATGCATTGGGAAACTGGCCAGAACAGACGGTGAACCACTGACCTAATTTCTACTAGACCTATGGTCTAAGGCAGGTGTTTTTAAACTCAGATGGCAAAGGCAATAAGTAGGTAATCCAATTGAGAGGAGTAAGTGGGGAGTGATGGAGACTTTGGGACACAAGAGCAGGTAGGAAAGTGAACTCAATATTGTCAGATCTTTAAGAAAAGACTGAAATCTAGATTTTTATGTGCCATCTCCATTTTTTAATTTTGTTTTTTAAGTGCCATTAAGTCAGTTCTGACTTACAGTGACCCTGAATAGGGTTTCTGAGGAGCAAGCAACTGGTGAGTTTGAACTGTCGATCTTATGGTTCAAAGTGACCTTGTGGTCCAGTGCTTATCCTACAGTGCCATACCAGGACTCAGCTTTATACAGGTCACATAAAACACATCTGCAACCCAAATTAATTACTCAAATGGCCTAAGCCAACCCACCTGCCTGTGTACTCATTTAGTTACGAGAATATACAAGAAAAAAGTAAAGTGTGCTTGATTAACACAACTTCCCTTAAACTCAACTGCATCATTTTTCTTACTGACCAAATGATTTCTTTTGTGGTATGGGCTCATAGCCCATTTTCTAGAAAGAGTCTGGGTTGTGGAGGCAGGAAGCCAGGGTCTGTTACCAAGTCACACAAGACGTTGAAAAATCCTTTAACCTCTTGGAGTCTGTTGCATTCCCTGTGAGGCTAAAATGGTGTCAGAAACCAAAGCCAGGGCCTGGACAATGGGGGGGATATTCTGGTCTTCTGTTTATAATGTGACATGAAAAAATCTTGTTCCCCTCTGCTCTTAGTTTCCCCAACTATTGGATGGGTTGGTAGCAGATTACCAATTCAGTTCAGCTCTAATTTAGTGTAAGATAGAAAAATCTTGAGGTCTTCGAGATCTTCCTTGATCAGAAGCTGATACTCTTGATTCAATGTTGTTGTTCAGTGCCATCAATTTGGTTTTGACTCATAGTGAGCCTATATAGGGTTTCCAAGGAGCAGCTGGTGAGTTTAAACTGCCGACCTTGTGGTTTAAATCAACCTTGCTGTCTACTGCTTTATCCCACAGCACCACACCCCTATAAAAACTCCGCATGGTGTTTGTGACTGTGACCTCCACCCTACTCCCTCCCCACATGGTGAACTTTAGGAGGAAACAGTATGTGTATATATTGTATATATATGTATATATGTGTGTGTATATATATATGTATATGTGTGTGTATATATATGTGTGTATTGTTGTTGTTGTTGTTTGCCGTGGGGTTGGTTCTGACTCATAGCGACCCTGTACAGGGTTTCTGAGGCTGTAAATCTTTACGGGAGCAGAAAGCCTCATCTTTCTCCCACGGAACAGCTGGTAGTTT